AAGGAAATACATAAAATACTCTGTGTCATTACTTATGTTCAGTTTATTTTGAAATGAATGGAAATACATCTCCACCGATGCTACTTGAGAATGAGTAACTAAATGTGAAAAACAGCATAACCAGAGCCCTATACAAACAATAAATTGTTAAAAAAATTCAAGGCTTTAAATGGTTAAATGGAATCAACAGCATTCTGGAAAAAAGTGGGGGGAAATCAGACAGTGCTGCTGGAGCGTTTTCTTCTAAGTGCAAGCCAGCTCTGCAAGTCAGATCCTCAAGAGAACCAGAGATGAAGAAAGAGCTACATTGCTGATAATATTTTTCTGCTAGGGGCAGCAATAGTCTCTATTGACAAGCAGTAATCCTTTGAAGATTAAATACAACCACAGAGCTACTTATATGCAATGTGTATATACAGAACAGCAACTGTGTTATAGTTTTGTAATATATATGAAGAACATTGTTAAGAATACAAAACAAAAAACGAGCCAATATGACAAATAAAGTAGATATAAACTTCATACAAGGAAACAAAGCCTACATTAATATACTTCACTTTAACAGTGAATGAGTCCCCATCTTTCATTACTAGTTCATAAATAGTTTACATTCATTGTCAGCTGAATAGTTTTCCAATGCTTTGTGTTGCACTGAATTGTCTTATCTGAGTGTATTTTGGTGCCGATCATGATTTGCTGTGCTGAAACCCGGAGCATTGCTGCAAATGAAAACTAATGGTTGAAAGAAACCCACAGCACATGCAAATGATTTACAATAGATTTATTTAAATTATTTATTTGCTGCCCGAGTGCTTGAGGGGCCCTACAGTAACAAGTCAAACTTGACAACTGAAAGAACAAGAAAACAGCTGCAAATAAAACTAGTCAGTTGAAAAGAAAGACAACAGGAAGAGAACTTTCTTCAAACATGAATAAAGAAGTGAAGCTATTGGTCTTAAGGGAGGAAAATCACTCCACAAGCTTAGACAAATTGATGCCGTTCGATGCTACTCTGTCAATGCTATGAGACTAATAATTTTTTTTTTTGCTCTCTCTACTATAACTGTACATGATTCTATAGCCATGAGCCATGGCAGTTAAAGCAGTGTCAAACTGCATGATTTGTACAACTAGTTATCTACAACTACCAGTAGTTACGAGGAGCCCCCGGTGGGTCAATGGGTTAAACCTTTGTGCCAGTTGGACTGCTGACCAATAGGTCAGGGATTTGAATCCGGGGAGAGCGGGTTGAGCTCCCTCTGTCAGCTCTAGCTTCCCATGCGAGGATATGAGAGAAGACTCTCATAAGGATGGTAAAAGATCAAAACATCCGGGCATCCCCTAGGCAATGTCCTTGCAGACAGCCAATTCTCCCACACCAGAAGTGACTTGCAGTTTCTCAAGTTACTTCTGACATGGAAAAAAAGGTAGTTACTTGTATAGTAATTTCATAGTTATACTTACACTGAATCATCCTCTAATCTTAATTCTTAAAACCATTTTATAAATGCTGTGCTATTCCAGAATGCCATTTTTAACACTAAATGTGTGGAAGGACAGCTGAATAAACAAGCCCTGCTCCCTGAATCAGATTAAAGCTTGACCATTCTGTTTCTAACAGTAGAAATAGTGCACCTTTTCCTATTTGGAGCCCAAATCCAACTGTTAGTTGCAGATAAGAGTACAGCATCCTTGATAAATCAACATGTTCACAAAGGCCATTGGTTCCGTCTATGTACTTTATCGAGGTCTAACAATTGTATTTTAGACAATTTTAGATATAGTTAACTTCTAGGAAGTTGAGACTTATCAGACAATAAGATCTAATACTGAGGGTGCCTCTACACCAGGCATGGACAAACCTTTTCTGGCCACATGATGGGCTGGAGTGGGGTGTGCAGGACGGGAGGTTCTTTCCAAGTCCCCTCACTGCCTTTTCCTCCCTTTCCTCTTCTCTTTTGGAGGCAGAAAATGAAAGAAAGATGGGAAACATTTGAATCTCAAAAGGGTTCGCCTTCATCAGGATGATTTTTTTTTCATGTCAGAAGCAACTTGAGAAACTGCAAGTCACTTCTGGTGTGAGAGAATTGGCCATCTGCAAGGATATTGTCCAGGGGATGCCCAGAGGTTTTGATGTTTGACCATCCTTGTGGGACACTTCTCTCATGTCCCCACATTATGAACGGGAGAGAAAAAGTGTATTCATTAGAACCCATATTGCCTACTCCTGATATAGAATCTTAGAGCTGGAAGAGACTCCTAGGGACTCCCGCCTAGACTACTGCAACGCTCTCTACGTGGGGTTGCCTTTGAAGACGGCTCGGAAGCTTCAACTAGTCCAACGCTCGGCAGCCATGATTCTAACAGGAGCGGAACACAGGGAGCATACAACCCCCCTGTTTCGCCAACTCCACTGGCTACCGATTTGCTACCGGGCTCAATTCAAAGTGCTGGCGTTGGCCTTTAAAGCCCTAAACGGTTCCGGCCCAAGCTACCTTTCCGACCGCATCTCGGCCTATGACCCACCAGGACTTTGAGATCTTCCGGGGAGGCCCTGCTCTCGATCCCGCCAGCTTCACAAGCACGGCTGGCGGGGACGAGATAGGGCCTTCTCGGTGGTGGCTCCCCGGCTGTGGAACGCCCTTCCCACAGACATTAGATTAGCACCATCTCTAATGGTATTCCGCAAAAAAGTAAAGACCTGGTTATTTCAGCAGGCGTTCGAATAATTAGTGCAATGACTGGTAATGACATAGGAATGGAACTATGGATGACGAATCTGGATCGTGTTTTTAGTGATGAGATGCTAGTGATTGGTTATTATAGTAATTTGTGTACTAACTGTGTATTGATTAGGTTGTTAACTGTTTTTATATTGGTGTACTGAACTTTGCTGTTTCCTGTGTGTTGTGACCCGCTGTGAGTCGCCTCCGGGCTGAGAATAGCGGTATAGAAGTAAAGTAAATAAATAAATAAAATAGGGGTCATCCAGTCCAACCCCCTGCCATTCAGGAAGGCACAATCAAAGCACTTATCTGGAGGCTCTGCAGAAAAGCCTCCAGACAAAGAGACCTCACCACACTCCCAGGCAGACTATGCCACTCTCCAACAGCTCTTACTCTCAGGAAGTTCTTTCTAATCTTTTCAGTCAAATCTCTTTCCTTGCCATTTGAAATCATTGCTCCCTTGTGCCCTGGTCTCTAGAGCAGTAGAAAGTCAGGTTTTCTTTCTTCTCCTCAATGGGACAGCCTCTTAAATCTTGAAATTGTGGTCCTCATGTTCCTCTCTACCATCTCTTCTCCCAGCTAACATCCCCCAGGAGGAAAGGAAGAAGGCAAAAGAGAAGGAAGGAAAAAAGAGAGGAAGAGAAGGATGGAAGGGTGGAACAGAATGGAGTGGGGGGGAAAGCAAAGAGAGAAGGAAAGACAAAAGGAAAGGAAGGAAGGAAGGAAGGAAGGAAGGAAGGAAGGAAGGAAGGAAGGAAGGAAGGAAGGAGGGAGGGAGGGAGGGAGGGAGGGAGGGAAGGAAGGAAGGAGAAAGGGAGAGAGGGAAGGAGAGAGGAAAGAGGGAAGGAAAGAGGAAAGGGTGGAAGGGAAGGAAGGATGGAAGGAGAAAGAGGGAGGTAAGGAAGGGAGAAAGAGGGAAGGAGGAAGGAAAGAGAGAAGGAAGCAAGCAAGGAAGGAAGAATAGGATAGGATGGTGTGAGAGAGGAGGGCCTGAGAAAAGAGCCCAAGGGCCCGCATCCAGCCCCCAGGCCTGGGTATCCCCATACCTGCTCTACACCATTGTCACTGTGATTGTGAATGATTTTGTTTTGCATTTTATATTGTTTATTGTATTCACATGTTTTATGTATTTCACTGTGTTGTTGTTGTGTTTTGCTTTTATTTTATTGTAATGTGCTGTTGGGCCTGGCCTCAATTAAGCCGCCCCAAGTCGGCTTACATGATGGGGAGATGGTGGTGGGATATTAAATAAAGGTTATTATTATTATTATTATTATTTGAAACACAAGAAGATGAGTCCACAGCAGTCAATCTGCTGGCTGTTGAATTGGATCACACGTAGGACACTTCCCAAGTGTCTAGGACTGTGTGATGTATTGGCGAATAATGCATGCAGATCCCAGTAAGGTGGCCTTCTGCAGCTGGCAGATGGTCATTTTGTCAGCACTGATTGTGTTTAAGTGCAGGCCAAGGTCTTTAGGCACTGCACCTAGCGTGCCGATCACCACTGGAACCACCTATACTGGCTTTTGCCAGAGTCTTTACAGTTTGAGCTTCAAATCCTCATATCGTGTCAGCTTTTCTAGTTGTTTCTCTGCAATCCTGCTGTTACCTGAGATTGCGAGATTGACGATCCATACTTTGTTTTTTAACACGATCGTGAGGTCAGGAGTATTATACTCCAAAACTCTCTCTGTCTGAATCCAGAAGTCCCAGAGGAGTTTGGTGTGTTCATTCGCTGTAATTCTTTCCGTCTTGTGATCCCATCAGTTCTTTGTCTCAGGCAGATGGTATTTGTGGCACAAGTTCCAATGAATCATCTGAGCAGCGATGTTATGTCTTTGCTTGTAGTCTGTCTGCGCGATCTTCTTGCAGCAGCTGAGGATGTGATCTATTGTTTCATCTGCTTCCTTCTATTATTATTATTATTATTATTATTATTATTATTATTATTATGAATGCATGTTGAAGCCACTTTAACTGCTAGGGTACAATGGTATGGAATCATGGTAGTTGTAGTTTGACAAAGTCTTCTTTACTAAAGAAAGTTGGCCCATGATTCCACAGCATTTAGCCCTGGCAGCCAAAGCGTTGTCAACGTGCATTAATTCTACAATGTAAATGCACGCAGTGACGCAGGGGAGCAGAAGAGCCTTTCTTTTCGCTCTGGTTCTTGCTGACAGGGTGCGCTGGCCCTTTAAGAGATAGCAGCCGAAAGGCGGCAGAGCGTGTAGAATCTGCTGCTGGCTTTAGGTAAATGCCGTGAAAAAGCGGGCTGGGGAGGGACTTTGGAGGAAGGCAAAGGGAAGGAGAAGAGGGAGAAGAGGCCAGGCTCTTTCCTTCCTGTCCCCCCGGCCCTAAAGCCAAGGGACACGGCTCAAGGGTATTTCACACTGCTTTGCTGAAGAGGGAGCTGCTGCTCGGGTAGATTTGCGGGAGGAATTTGACCCCACTAGCTCTGCTTTGGCGCAAATGAATCCTGGGATGTGTAGTTTGGTGAGGCACCAGCCCTGCTTGGCGGAGAAAACTAAAGGCCTTGGGAAAGTACGGCTCCCAGGAGTCCCTCGCAGTGAGCCATGGCAAACTGCATTAATTTCACAGTGTAGGTACATCCCCAGACTAAGGAGAACCTGTCACAGGATTTCCTTGGTAAACTTGGTTCAAAGAGGGTTTTTGCTTTGAGGCTGAGAGAGTGTGACTTGCCCAATGGGTTTCCAGTGGCGAAGGAGAGATTCAAAGAAGTGCAGTCTAGCACTCAAATCACGACATCAGGCCTAGTCTCATGCGTAGTTGAAGAAAGGAGTTTGAGGCCCCTTCTACACTGCCATATAAAATCCAGATTATCTGCTTTGAACTGGAATATATGAATGCGTGGACTCAGATAACCCAGTTCAAAGCAGATATTGTGAGATTTTTTGCCTTGATATTCTGGGTGATATGGCTATGTGGAAGGACCCGTTTGCACTGCCATATAAAATCCAGATTATGTGTTTGAAATGGGTTATATGGTAGTGTCGACTCATCCAGTTCAAGAAGATAGTCTGGGGCAAAAGTATGATAGCTGGGACCCTACACTGGTTGCGCAATGCGGATCTGAATTAATGAGAACACATGTGTGATACAGTGAGTGAGAGATGCAGCTTCTTCAGAGTCGTGACAACATTGTTCACCAGAAAGAGGGAGAGGGAACATTTCTATCCAGTTTACCATTTTCGTTAAGCCGTTGTTTATTATTTAACATTAAATAAATCTTAGATTACTTCACCCTTATCCTCTCCCACCTCACTGCTATCCTATTGCAGCTGCATCCCTCACTTGCTCTGCTGTCTCGCGCACATCTTTCCTTCATTAATTCTGACCGGCGTTACGTACGTCATCTCTTCATTAATTCTGAGCTGCGTTGCGCAACTAGTGTAGCACAGGGTCCCAGCTATCATACTTTTGCCTAGTCTGTATTATCATCTTTGATAATCTGTGTTACATGGCAGTGTAGAAGGGGCCTTAGCATTCACAGCCAGAGAGTTCTTGAGCTTCCCTCAAAATTACAAACCCCAGAATTTTATAGAATGTTGCCATGGCAATTAAAGTGGAATAATAGTGCCATAACTATACAGGGTGACAGGTTTGCATTTGGGGTGGCCCTTGTGAAGCACCTTCTACACTGCCAAATAATTTGGATTATCAAATCAGATAATCCATATTAACTGTTTTGAACTAGATTATATGAGTTTATGCTGCCATATAATCCAGTTTAAAGCAGATAATATGGATTTATATGGCAGTATAGAAGGAACCTAAGACTCAGACCAATAGGTCCAAATTACAGGAAAGGAGATTCCACTTGAACTTTAAGAAGCACTTCCTCACTGTAAGAGCTGTTCAGCAGTGAAACTCTCTGCCTCAGAGTGTGGCGGAAGCTCCTTCCTTGAATGCTTTTAAGCAGAGGCTGAATGGCCAGCTGTCAGGGGTGCTTTGTGCTTTTCCTGCATTGCAGGGATTGGACTGGATGCGGTATCTTCCAACTCTATTATTCTAGGGAAATATTAGGCCCCTGCCACACAGCTCAATAAAATCACACATTATCTCCTTTGAACTGGGATATGTGGCAGTATGGACTAAGATAACCCAGTTGAAAGCAGATATTGTAGGATGTTCTGCCTTGATATTCAGGGTTATATGGCTGTCTGGAAGGGCTCTTAATCTCAGTGAATGTCGAAGGCAGATTGTACTGCCTGCCCTCCTCCCAGTAGCCTGTGTCCCCATATCAAACTTTTGAAGTATTTCATGTTGGACATGCATCATTTGATGACACCATAATTCAGTTTTAGTAGCAAACCAGACGTTAAACCAACTCCTTTGAGAGATACGGACACATACATAAATTGTAAAAGCTGAATGAATGGGGGCAGAACATATTTCAAGAAAACCTTTCATTTATATTTTAATAATATATGATTTGCAAAATAATAATATACATTTCAAATATTTCAAACCAACACACTATAGCCGACACACTGATGTGTCATGATACACAGTTTGGAGAGCTCTGGTATATATCTTGGTTCATTGTGGTCATTGGATAAGAAACCAAAGAGCTGGAGAAGGCAGCTTTTTGCCAAGCAGGAACTATTGCCCATCTGCTCTCTGCCTGTTTTACAGTGCCCTAGATCAATGGTGCTGATGATTTAAATTCAGTTATTTGACCAACCTCATTAATTTTCTTAGCATTACACCAAAGTGCTGGGTGATTTAACTAAATAAGTGATAAATTATGGTGCTTTAAATCTCTGGGCTGTTGGCACAGTTTTGGTCCTTGTTAGTAATGCCTCAATAAATTGTGACTGGCATTAATTCACATCTGCTTTGTTGTCAGGTATCTTGGCTCCAGACCTCTATATTGCAATATTCTGTCGATTGAATAAGGATAAATAACAAGTTGGCAAACTCTTAAACTTGACTTTTTCTGCAACAACTTGTACAGTTATAATAATATTGCCACTTTGCACCATTATAGTAGTACTGTTTCTTCTTCTGCATCACCAAAGCATGTATGATAGGAATTCGATTATTATTTCACTATCCTTGTATTTTCCAGGATAATGTCATATGTTTATTTTCTTCATGTTGTGCAACAGATAGAAGCACAATTCTGAATAAATCAAACAAGCAAAGATATACAAAGGGATCTTGTAGCACATTTGTGATTAATTGAGAAAAGAAGCTTGTGGCATATATTTTCATATATTTAGCCTACTCATTCTCAGATGTTGATGAAGTAGACAGAGAAAGGTTGTACTACACTTGGTCTCAAAGGTGCTACAAGATCCCTTTGTATAGTGACACAGATTTATACAGGTTTGTTAAAGGTTTCCCCTTGATACTAAGTCTAGTCGTGTCCGACTCTGGGGGATGGTGCTCATCTCCATTTCTAAGCCGAAGAGCTGGCATTGGCTGAAGACATCTCCAAGACCATGTGGCCAGCATGACTGCATGGAGCTCCATTATCTTCCGCAGTGGGCTTCCATGGCCAAGTGGGTATTTGAACTGTAGTCACTAGAGTAATAATCCAGTGTTTAACTACTACACTACATGTTTTTTCTCATTCCAGATTTTGTCATGGAATAAAGCATTGTTTCCACAGGTAGTCTGATGTGAGTGATGGGCAGATTTTTCCTTCCAGCATAAAGAGACTGGAGCCATATATGTTTTGTGATTTAAAATTGTTCCTGTCTTGCCAGGGATTGGCAGCTAATGCTTTGTGGAGAGCACTATTCTCTGAATCGCCATGTTGAGTAGGTTGGGAATAGATTTCATGTTTGGAAAATAGCTTTGAACTTTTACAGTGGATTAAAAAACCCTCCAAATATGCAGCCCTCATGCCCTTGCTAAAATGGTGCAAATGTTACAAGACATCTTCTGTTTAAAATCCTGGTTTGTGCATGATTGCTTCATTGCTGAGGCTTTTGACGAGGCTGATATTTAAGTCCTAATTTGATCTTGTTGAGTTGAAAACACTGCCCATCTTTGTCCCTACCATAGATACACAATTTCAGGGTTTTGTGAAACAATGGAAGAGTAGTCTTAATTTGAATATTCTAGACCTTGTTCCATCTATGATAGCCTTGACTGTCTCCACCAGACCTTGAAGCTTGTCTTTTGCCCAACTGTGCCCCCCTGCCTCAATCATGTTGATCCAGCACAGTTTGCAATAGTGGCAGTTGTTCATCTTTTCTTTGTTTGTGTTTTTACCAGGTAACTTCAAAATTATATACAGCCTTTTGTAGTCTTGAGGGTGTCTCCACAATAAACTTGCCAGACAGTGCTCAGTCCACCTTGTTCTTTATACTGATGGAGGCCAAAATGAATGTTCTTTAAGCTGCTCCTGGATATTACCTAAATTTGGAGGAATGTGGGCTGTCCGAAACGTGTATAGATCTTCAGCACAATGGTGCAACTTCAAACAGTGTGGGCCACAAAGTACTCTGCAACTTAAAATCCAAGACTATGGCAGTAAAACTGATAGCAGCTGCATTTCACAAGATTTCCACCCCTTATCCACATACAGTGTAAGTATTTATTTACTTCTACAGTGCTGTTTCTATTCACAAAAGATTTCAGGGAAACAAAGGATCTTTTCATTGGCATGCTACTGAGTATTCTCTTGCTCACTCTGGAGTCCATTTTAAGCTTTTCCTTTCTTTCTTTTAAATGCTTGATTGTGACACATCAAATAATTGAGGTCTAGCAAATGTGTGTATTTTTAAAATCTTTTTAACCAAGGAGATTTGCATGAAAGTTGGTATAAGTCTTTTTATTTATTTACATCTTGTCATACATGTGAAACATTATTTGGCAGAGAATGAATAATAATAATAATATTGATCCAGATTTCATTTGGAGGAATGAGTTGAAGGAAAGACTTTAGAGTTTTGGGATTTAGTACTGTTTATTTATTTATTTGGGGTTAGTCCTAATGTGTACAGTGGGTTTTACTGTCAAGTAGACATGCATGAGATTGTAGTCTTAAGACTCAGGACGTGAAGGAAGGAATAGGAAAATGACCTAATGTCTAATTCATAAGAAGGTAGCATAATTTTTAGATGCTCTGAGGATAAGAGCGCAGTAGAGAGGAAGGAATGTGTTCACCCTGCTCCACGATCTACTTAAAACATAACTACAGAAGGCAATATGGATTGCAAATGTAAACCTACACATGCTTATTTTGGAATAAGTTTCACTGAACAGAGCAAGTTTTTAAAAATTACTTGCACAGGATTGCAATGCAAGAAGATATGAACAGTGTCATGCAGCAAAATTGGTTTCCGAGAAGGGAAATGAGGAAGGAGAAGAAGTTGCATTATGTGTTCATATATTTTTATAATTGGGTTTACTATAGGCAGTAAGTCCCACTGAACTCAGTGACACTGCTAAGTAAATATGGATGCAACTTGGCTGTCAGACAGCAGTGCTAGGCATATTTAATTGGAAACAAGAACCATTAAAATCAGTGGGACTTCTTCCTATGGAATGAGCATATTTGCTGTTGTTAAAGTGTGCCTTACAAAAAACAATGATAAAGGCTGATATACAGTATTTCATCTAGTTTAAGGCACACTTTTTCTCGTTTAAAGGGCATCAAAAGTGGAGTGTGCCTTATATTTAATGGTGTCTTGGATTTCCTGGGTTTAGTGTCTTACTTCCGAGAGAGGAGGAGTAGGAGCAAAAAGAGAAGGAGGAGGAGGAAGCACGCTAGTTCTGCCAGCCTCCACCATTTTCTCCTTAGCCAGATTACTGTTTACCATCCGGCTGAGCTAAGTGCTACTTCCTGCTTCCACTGGCTTCTTAATGGACCCATAGACTTAATAAAATAGACTCCTGCAAACAAGATGAGTTCCTGGTTTCTTCACATTCCCTCCTCACCCCACAGGAAAGATTGCTCCACAAAGCCACATTGAAACAAAAAAGAGGTATTGTGAATGTAGGGGAAATTCTATCTATCTTCTTAAAATTAAAGCTTAAAAATACAAGGTTTGCCACACATTTAATGGCAGTTTAGAATCAGGGAAATACAGTACTAATCTGTAAACATTTTTAATTTTATAAAGAGATACAAATAAATGCTTACATCAATATTATGTAATATAAATATAAATAATATGTTATATTATATTCAATATTAGTGGTAACCATCATCATCTTAAATATTTTAAAGATAGATAAAAATACATGAACTATGTATATACAGTAGATCTTGGTATCCACTGGGGTTTGGTTCCAAGACCCCCTGTGGATACTAAAATTCATTACTAACAATGTGTCATAAAATGGTGTCCCTTGTATAAAATGGCAAAATCAAAGGTTGTTTTTGGGGATTTTTCCTCAAATATTTTTGAGCTGAGGTTGGTGGAATCCATGAATACAGAATCTGTGGATAAAGAGAGTGGACTGTAATACGGCATACAGTTTTGTTTACTTTTGACTAAAACCTGCTGTTCATATGCTTTCAAAAGATCCTATTACCTGAAATGGCATACAGCTTTCAATTCTTTGATGGACCCTACCTCCTACCTTATACATGGGTTAATGTGTTGCTTTTTTTCTTCTGGCTTGGTTATTTTTGTTTTGAAAAGTCAGATATGACCTGCTTGCTTTATTTGCTTTCTTTTTGGTCTTCTAAGATAGCCCTTCTCTTACTGTACATTTAGGTATCCATAGGTCAGTATGCACGGTTGATAATGGATATGGCAGAGGCTGCCAATGGGGACGAGGACAAGATTGCTTATGACAAAGCATCAAAGGCACCACAAGGTGGAAGACATCATGAGATGGAAGGTATTTCTTATTGTGATTTATTTTTAGGAGCCCAGCTGCAGTGCAAAAGTATGTTACTTAAACACAAAATCAAAAAGATGAACCAAAACTTGGCTTAATAGGAGAAAAAACACAAACCACAAAATCACTTCACAAGATTAGGACCATTTGAAATATTTGCTTATCCTCATGAGATATTTTGTGATGTATCCCCTTGTACTTGAAAGTTAGGCACACTGAATTTGAGATACTGCCATCTTTTACATGTCTATTCTTATTTTAGTGGGATAACCCCCAGGTAGCTACGCTTACATGACAGCAATCCTATTGAATTCAGGAAATTGAGGCTTCATTCCTGTGCACATTTTCCTGGGACTAAGGGCATATTTATATAGGACATATAAACTGGGGCAGTTGAGAATCAACCACGTGACAAATGGGCCTTTCTCGCCCCCAGCTTGGAACAAGGATGCCAAATGCAGTTTTGCACTGCATTAGCCAAAGTAGAGGAATTCTCTGGAGCTTCCCCACACTGCAATGATGTGTAAACAGTTGTACCATTTCTTTCTTACAAATTGATACAGGTTTTTTAAAAGAAAACTGTGAATTTTATTTCCAACCAGTATTTAAAAAGATCTACACATGACAGCACAAAAAACAGATAAACACAAAAAAATAAATACACCAATATGTTTGCATACACACTTAGCATATATACTAAAACAAGACTAACAAATGTAGAGACTAGTCTACAGGACTCTCACTCTCTGTTGTTGTTTTTTTAGTAGTCCACTTCCTTTAAGAAATATTATAGTCACACTTTTACATTTAATTAATAACATACCACAAACTCGTAAATTCCACAGGTAATGACCCTCCCCCAAAGTTGGAATGTATTATTCAATAAATCCCCCAAAGCTCTCTTAAAATTAAACAAATATTCCTCCTTTATCAGGCTAATCAATTTGTCCATCTGAGTTAGTTCACAAATCTTTATTAGCTATTATCAAAAATGCTCATCTTCTTCAGTCTTCCAGATGATTCTACATCCAGAGACAATCCACTCAAAACGTCCTTTTTTTCACTTCCTTTTTGATGTATATCAACATTTCACAACAGCTTTTTCACAGAACAGGTCCTGCTGTTTACATGGCCATCCCGCTTTCTCCAGACTCTGACATCCCTCCTTTCCCCCTTCCCCACAAGTCAGCATTGGTTCCTCAAGACATCCAGAAACTGTTTTGAGCTCTGTGGCACCACCATAACAGTGAGAGGAGCATCCATCTGGGCTAAACGAGGTGGAGTACTGCACTCTGCACACACATACACACCCTGGGGGTCCCGGCCTATGTAGATATGTCCTTAGTAACATTGATTTTGAAGAGGCTTGCGTCTGAATACATGAGTGTAAGACTTTGCTTTAATTCTCTCCAGATAAATGTGTGCAGAAATCCAGCCTAATTATTCCCACTACATTTGATTAATGTCTGATTTACCAACCTCTATTTGGTATTGTATTCAACCACTATAGTATTTGGTTGTTTCTTTCAGAAGAAGTTAAGCTGGCTCAGTTTACCTCCTGGGTAGTATTGGGTAGCCTCTGAATCTTCTGATCATGCTTAGTTTTGTATGGTAATGTAATTGATTTGTGTTTTTAGGCCTTCTTCAAAGTATAGTGCAGTCCAGAAAAGCATGCTTAATAGGTTTATAAGGGCTTATGTTTTTCTGCACCACTGGAGTGGAAATTCAGAGCTTCAAAGGAACATTGCTTGCATGTCCTTTAGCAACTTTTTACGATTTCCTTCATGTTCCTTGCAACCTAGAAATAATTTGGAAACCTTGGGCATTTGCCCCATTGCTGGAAAGGAATATGATACTTAGTGAATCTATTTCAACAGTAACAAGAGCAGGCATTGTTAGTGTCTCTGTGCACTGATTTTTTGTTTTTTACTCCTTCCAACAAATCAGTAAGGATTTAGTTATTATATTATAATTCTCAATTTGCGAATTAGAGACAGGTTGTGAGGGAGGCTGGGTTTTCCCCCTACTTTTAAAATAAAAGCTGGGAAAAAAACCAATATATTTTTCTAATTTTGATTGACATGTGAAATATTGTTCTACATTTAGTGGCACTGGAGTTAAGCGTAAATATTTGAATATTTCTTAATCTATACTAAGGATAGATGGCTATCATTAGCATCAGAGGAAAATTACTTAGGAAAGATTTTTTTCTAAGGAAATTAAGAAACCAAAATTAGTTAGCACAGGATTATCTGTCATTAATTGCAGTCAAATGATCCTTGACCTTGACATTATTTTCTTTATTTTGGAAAATGACATTTATAACCTTTTGGAAAAACACCTTTAGAATATCATAACTTTGTAGAAAAGCACGATCTTTCAGAAAAGAGCCAAAAACCCTTTAGAGTATAATCTTCTCTTGTGGTATATAACCAAATATAACTATGCAAGGCAATGGTTAATGACCAAGTAGCAACTGTAAGAACTAACCATGGAACAACAGACTGGTTCAAGATTGGGAAAGGCGTACCACAGAGTTGTATACTCTCTCCCAACCTATTCAACTTGTATGCAGAACACATAATGCGATGTGCAGGGCTTGATGAATCCAAGGCTGGAGTTAAAATTGCTGGAAAAAAACATTAACAACCTTAGGTATTCGGATGTTACTACTTCGATGGCCAAAAGTGAGGAGGAGCTGAGGAGCCTTCTAACCAAGGTGAAAGAAAAAAGTGCAAAAGCTGGGTTGCAGTTAAACATAAAAAAAAACAAGATTCTGGCAACCATACTGATTGATAACGGGCAAATAGAGGGAGAAAACGTGGAAGCAGTGACAGACTTTGTATTTCTAGATGCAGAGATTACCACAGACGCAGGCTGCTGCCAGGAAATCAGAAGACGCTTACTTCTTGGGAGGAGAGCAATGTCCAGTCTCGATAAAATAGTGAAGAGTAGAGACATCATACTGGCAATGAAGATCCCTATAGTTAAAGTAGTGGTATTCCCCATAGTAACCTACAGATGTGAGAGCTGGACCATAAGGAAGGCTGAGCGAAGGAAGCTAGCTTCTTTTGAACTGTAGTGTTAGAGGAAAATTTCGAGAGTGCCTTGGACCGTGAAAAGATCCAACTAATCCATACTTCAGGAAATAAAGCCCGACTGCTCATTGGAGGGAAGGATATTAGAGGCAAAGATGAAGTACTTTGGCCACAGAATGAGAAGACAGGAAAGCTTAGAGAAGACAATGATGCTGGGGAAAATGGAAGGAAGAAGGACCGAACAAGGGCAAGATGGATGGATTGTATCCTTGAAGTGACTGGCTTGATTCTGAAGGAGCTGGAGGTGGTGACGGCCGACAGAGAGCTCTGGCGTGGGCTGTTCCATGAGGTCACGAAGAGTCGGAAGCGACTGAATGAATAAACAACAACAACAATGGTTTCATTTGTTAGACTGAATAACCTGTTGTCTCTGATCTGTTAAGAAGAACAGATTTTGCCATTGCATAAAAAGAGCAGTGCTTCAGAGGTGTTTTTCAGTTCCCCCCTCCCTATATATATACTCTCCCATAAAACAATTTGCTTTATATCATGCATGCAAGAGACAAAAATTCAGTAGACTTTGATAAAAACAATATATTTGGTTTACTCACAACCTTCATATGTTCAGCATACACAGGTATAAAACTTATCAGTCCAGTTTCAGATTTGAGATAATGTTCTGTGCAATACAGCAAAACAGCAAGCAAGTGTGTGATCTGTGGTCTAAAGTAGTCTGTCTGTAGTCATCTCTCATCTGTCTGTAGTGATCATGTGATCTGCAGCCCCTTTTATAACTTCCCCGGAACCATAGAGTAAAGGAAGCTGCATATCAGAACATACATACAGAAAACAGTAAGCAACAGTATAATAGATAAACATTACTAGAGGAGGCTTGAAGAAGGTTGTCATTTCTAACACTTTTAAGTTCATTGGTTTGGATTCCTAATGAAAAGATCTATATAATTTTGGGTGGTAAAGAATTCTTTTAATGAAAATTCCACAATAAATAATATTAATCTGCTGGCGCACAATTTTTACTCTCGTTATTCATCTCTTTTAATTTCCATTGAGCAGTGGCAGTCAAAGTGGTGTCAAACTGCATTCATTCTACGTTGTAGATTCACACTCAGATAAATTTTGCAATAAATCCATCTTGACACATTCCTAGGATGCAGTTTTGGATGCAATTTTGTTGCTGTTTACCTTCAGGATTATTTTAGCCAGAATACATTTAACTTTCATTTACCAAATACAAAAAGGCTATGTGACCTTATTAGGAAAGAGCATACTGACTGACAAGCAGAGGCAGTCTTTAAATGTTGGAATGTGTTGGATTATATGAAAACTCTCCCAATTTTAAATATTCTTATTTCGCTTTTTCGGGTTTTTTTTTTTTTGAAGGGGGACTTGTTGTAGAGGTACATATTTTTCTGTATTGAAATGTTACCTTAATTTTGACCCATTATTGTGGTTCGTTGCAATCATTTTGAACATTTATTGTGGCATTTTATTATGAAAACAGAAATAGGAGCATCTTCAGTCACGGCTGCAATAGTTGCCAAGGGATGATAATCAACTCCAAGGCAGCACTGTACCTTAAAAAATATAGCATGTGAATGGAACCTTGTTCATAGGGCAATTGCTAGTATTAAAATATTGTCTGTAATTAGTTTCTGATTACTTAATTTGCCAGCATACTACTGTGTTTTATCTTTTTATTGCACAATAGGCTATTATCTGCACATAGAACATGTGAAGTTTTAGTTTTCCCCTCCCTGTAGTATTTTTCCTACTTTCTTTTTTCAGCTAGACCTCTTTGATGCTTCTTTCATTTCATTTTTTGTCTTCTTTCATTTCCTTCCACCACGACTTCATAAAATATTCACATTCTTCAATTACTTCTCGTGTTACATGGTTAATTTGGTCTGCAGTCTGTCTCTTCTTTCTCAAAACAAGATGCCTCTTAACTTATAAATTATAATTCCAAGAGAGCTGTTTTCAGCCCCAAACACATGTACTGGTGTTAAGTTTGCACTCTGTAAAAAGAGTTTAAAGCTACAGATAATTATAACAATGTAATGGCTGTTATCTGATGCTTTGATTTTTTTTCATGGATTTGTGTAAGAATGACTTGGTAAAATTATTTAAGGCAGACTTTCAGCGGAATTAATATTTAAGCCAGGAAAAGACTGTTATTTTTTTCTTGTACTTGTTTAGTTTCGTTTTGTCAGCTGAGAAAAAAACACCTTACCATAGCCACTGTTGACTAGTGGACAGAAGATGGTATACATGTCATGTGATGGACCCATAGGGAGAGCAGCTTCAAGTGAAGTCTAGCTAAGGCAGGAGTCTCATCCCAGCGTCCTTCTCACTTGTCCTCAGGTGTGTCAAAGGAAGACCTTTCCAAGAGATATACCTCCAAAAGTTCTAAGGCAAGACTTGACTCAGGAAGCCAGACCAAAGTGAAGCTTTCATTCACACTCCTGTTTTGGGGAATTTCAATTTAGGGAGCTTGCTGTGTCCATGATTCTAAACAGGAAATATCTGATAAATTATTAATGCTTATCTGTTTCAGGCTTGTGTACAAACTCTTGCCATGCTGTATACAAAAGCTTTGTCTATCACTTAGCTCTTAAAATTTCTGGTGGATTTTATTGTCATGGCTCATTAATTATTTACTTGAGATAGTCCTGAATGCTCTCTGTGTTTGCAAAATTGTGTTCCAGTATAAGGATCAATATTACCATTTGTGTTTACTGCTGTTTAGAGAGATGTGCTCAAATTGAGTGTTCTGAATATCTGCTAATTTACTATTGTTATGACTGGACAGTTCATCTTGAAAATACAGTGCAAACCAAAATGCTTAGTTTCTGCATTTACTTTATATTAATTTTGAAGTTGAAAAAAGCATACAAGAGGAGACAGTGAAATAAGTGGATTACACAAAGAAGATGATATATTTTTTAAAAAGCTTATTATTCTAGTGGATTTTGGTAATGCAAGCAGTAGGCTTAGCTACAGGAAATATAAAGATATACTTAATTAGGTTTACATATCTTTTGTATGCTGCTACATTGTGCTCATGCACGCTCATAAATTGAAGTCATATGAGTTATAGCAAAATACATGTAAAAAATTAAGACTATAATACAATTCCCTGTATTTGCAGAATCAGTTTCCATGCTTTCATTTATCCATGTCTGACAAAATATGTCCTGTCTAGGTCCCTCAGTGTGCCTCCATGATAGTCTTGTGCCAAAAACCTTTCATTTCAATAAGGTTCACGATCATCTGTGATTTCACATGTCCACATAAAGTCTGGGAACGTATCCCGCACAGATGCGGAGTCATAGTGCCACCACCAGAGTTTGTAATCCATGCGATTTTATTCATGAAAACATAGATCATTAAACAATTATACAGCTATTCAACCTGAATGGAGGTCTATAATAGTTTTGTTCTAACATTTTGGGGCATTTTACTTGTTTTTACTTTCAAACTACTCATTGGAGAGTTGTCATATTACAAATACGAAAAACATGACTTGACAAGCTTCCCCACTACCACTATTCTGTACCAGCATTTCTTGCAAGCAGTGAGAAGCTACATTAAAGTGTCATCATGGATTTTGTCTCAAGAAATATTACTAGGAGAGTGAGGAGATATAGTGTAGGAATCACTTCTAGCAGCTGCTCAAAACTGAGTTCCACTTTGTTTTTCTTGATCCAAGCAGGCTATGACTTGTACATCTCCCTCCGCTCTGATACCATGAATATAAAATGTTTAATATTATTTTCTCCACAATGGTGATTTGTAGTCATTAGCATTCATTTTACTGTTTTGAAAGTAAAATGTTTCTGAAAAGACTTTCAAACCAGTCCTATGAATGTGTTTACTTACTCTTTCTCTGATTACTGTTTGCTATGATTTGAGACTCTGCCACTATTTTAAAATCCTTGTTAGCGTACGCTTAAATATTAAGCTCTGTCCAGTAGTATAGAAAGGGTTAATTTGTATCAGAAAGAGTTAACTTGTCTGATACATTAGCTTGGAGTTCAAGACTAGGAAAAGATTTTAAGACTGGGATTGGAACTGCATTTTCCTTTGTTACTAACCTGGTTGCAATAGCTGTGGAGAGGGAGATGAATTATGCTTGCAGGTTTTGATTTTCTTTCTTTGCTTATGCATTATTATCCCTTAGGTGTCTATTTTTATGAACCTTGCTATGTGTATGTGGGCAGGGGTGGGGGGTGCATCCTATCCCAGGGTCCCCATTTAATCAGCTCTGGGAAAATGAATTGCTGGGCAGGAATAATCTGAGTAGAATTAGTTGATTAATCTACCATTGGCTGGGAAGAGATGCTTGACCTAGTCAACAGAAGGGCTAGAATGCTTTCCTGCTAAAATTGATCTTTACCTTTTTTTGCCACTAATATATTTTACCTTATAACAGTAACACATATACGTGTTTGCCACCAAACAAATGATGCATCTACACTGTAGAATTAAGGCAGTTTGACCCTACTTTTAACTGCCATGGCTCAGGGTTGTAGAGTAATGAGAGTTGTAGTTTTACAAGGTTTTTATCCTTCCCTGCCACAGTGTAGTGCATCAACTCCCATGATTCCCATGGCCCTGAACCATGGCAGTTAAAGGGATATTAAACTGCATTAATTCTATAGTATAGCTGCACTCAAAGTTTTGGGAAAGCCTGGAACAACACCCATATCAAGAACAGAATACTGCAGCTCCCACTAGCCCCAGCCACCATAGCCAGTGCTGAGTAATTGTGGGTGTTTTAGCTCAGCAAAAGCCATACAATTCCTACCCCTGATTTAGAAGGAAGTTCCACTGTTTTCAGTGATGAAGAGTTCTGGACAGCTCTTGAGTGTATACACTTTAATGGCATTTTCAGATGTTGCCTAATTTCAAGCCATTGGTTGATATTTAAATCCATGTTTAATGGAATAGATGACTAGTTGTAAACATGGTAGTAGTTCAGAACTGTATGAATTTTAGACATAATAACTGTTTTTTAAAAGCCCTGAGAAGCTCTGAGAAATCACAGAAAGTGTTGATTATTCTTACAAGTTGCCTGCTGGAATAGAAAGTTCAGAATTCGTCGTAATTTATTTTTGCAAATGATTAAAATTCACATCGACAGCATGTTTGTGTAAGATGGAATTCAACTCAGAAAAATTAACATGTTATGTTGTGTTCATTTGGATTTCAAAGAACCTCTGACCTACACATCAAAGTTGCCTATTACATATACATATATCCAATTATTTTAGCTTTTAACAATGCAGCATCACCTGCTGATTCTAAGCTTCACGTTAAAGATCAGAGTGAAGAGTTTGTGGAAAATAAAAATGTTATTTTTCTTTCCGCAGCCAAAATGAAACATATCAACTTGTCCTTTGCAGCCTGTGGGTTTCTGGGGATATACCACCTGGGGGCAGCATCTGCTCTTTGCAGACATGGTAAGAAGTTACTGAAGGTTGTCAAGGCCTTTGCCGGAGCTTCTTCTGGATCTTTGGTTGCTACTGTTCTTTTAACAGTGCCAGAAAATATAGAGGTAAATAGAAAAGGAACATGCAATCTTGATAGTCTACTAATTTAGGATATCAACTGAACTAAAAAAAAATTCAGGATCTGAATTATGCTACAAAGCAGCTATAGGCTACTGGTAGTATGTTTAGTCTTAAAGAAAATATATGGTAGTGATTCCTGGAAAGTATTTTTTTTCAGCCTGCAAATCCTTTGTGTATCTGCTACATTGTACACTTATATGGGAAAGTTGATGAAAGGTTTTTATATTTGAGGGCTATTACTTATATAATTCCGATTCGATTATTTTATAGTACGCACTTAGAAGTGTTTATCATGTGAGGATTTATCGTGTGGTTAAAAAGATGAACTTGAGGCAGGGGCTATAAAACTTCTATCATTCTAGTCCTAAAATATTTTCTATAAAAACGTACTTTATGGCAAAAGCAAAATAGGCTCACAGTTACAGCTAGTGTAATTGGCAAAAGCAAGCATGAGCACATTCTGTTGATATGAAATAGGAACAATAAATAATATTGCATTTTACTTTCCTTAATCTGAGAGTCAGCATGGTTTGAGGGTTTCCTAGGATGCCAGGAGACTGGGGTTAAAATCTCCATTCTGTCATGGAGATTATGACCTTGAGCAAATCACACTGTTTCAGCTTCAGAGGAGAGCAGTGTCAGACTGCTGCTGAACAAATCTTGCTAAGAAACCCATCTTGTAGTTGCCATAAGTTGGAAATGAGAAAATATCAAAATAGCATGAGGTTTAGAAGCAGAAATGGCTAATAAATATGTTTGACAATTTTGGAAGGGGGGGGGGGGAGGTTTGCATTTTACAAATATAAAGTGAAGAAAGAAACAAAAAATATGAGAAAGGGGAAAGGAAGAGCAGGGAGAAATGTGAAGCTTAGGAATTTGGGCCAGCATTTATGTTAATGCAACCTGGCCATGTGTCCAAAAATGCATTTACTTAGAAATGACAGAGGTAGTAAAATACAGATTTATGCATGTGTAATATCTTATAGTAAGATCTAACCATTGAATGATGGATGGTGAATATTTGCATTTACAACCCCGGAGTGTCTTTTAGGAACAGTAAGACCACAGCCTTATTTGAATAGAATTGAGCTGCAGTGTTTTCCTGTACTGTAATGGTAACATCTGGTGCTGCAGAGTGACTGAGGCAAGCCCTCTCTGATGGAAAACCATCAACAAAAGGAGCCAGCACCAATTGCCCACTTGAACCCTGCTCTCCACCAGCTCCTCTTAAGAGAGATAATGAGACCAGTAATTCCTCTTCACTTTGGAAAATATGCATTCATTCCTACTGCATCTGCAGTACATCATTAGCTCCTGATGGTGTAGTCTCTAGATTTAAAACATTTCAAGAAATTATGGCTGGGCATCCAGATGTCCAAATCCATGCACAAAGGTACAATTAGATACACATCTCAATTTTTAAATATCCTTATCATAGATGTGCGTTCGCAATATAAATCCACCATAATCCTCTCCCCAACAGAAATCTGAATCTGACAGAAAGTAGGTTCATGCTAACAGTTCGCTCTAGCAAAAACTGCAGTAATTGGTTTTGGGAATGAAACATGTTTTCTATAATTTTACTAATTAGAAGCATTAAAAAACTAAAAATAGTAAGTACGTCTATCTCAACCTAATGAGCTGCAGAGTATTGAATGCTAACAGTTTTAAAACTAAGTGATTCTAATACAATGGCTTTGATTTCCCTGCCTCCTATCAATCCAATATTACTTCTGGTTATTACTAAAACCCAACAAAATTGTATAATTTGCTGTTTGCTCTAAAAACTACACGACCATAGTTCCATATTTGCCTTAGTCATGACTTCTCAGGAGCTTTTGCCAGTCACTAGTGAGAATCATTGTTTAAATTTTTTTTTCTCTTAAATTTCCACAGTTTTGGGCACTGCCCATGTGTTTGTTGCAACTGTTTAAGCTGATTTTGCATTTTAATGAGCATTTGTCGTAGTAAATTACAACTGCTTGTCTGTGGCATTAAAATAACTGAATATTGCCACCCACAGTTTTCTGTGATTTAAATCTTCATTATTCTTTATATGTATTCAAGGATGTAAGTTGCTTGAGAAGAATCTGAGAATCGTTTCCTTGTCAACTTCTGCCTCTTGGCTGGCGAGAATTTCGGGAATTTCACAGACTTTGGTTAAAATAAAAATAGTGACTCTTTGTTAAATCTACAAATATACATCTGTTCCATTAATCTCATCTGATCAGGTTTAAAATTAGATTCAATAGGATTATTTTTAAATGACTGACCATTTGTACTCACCTTTCTGCTCGTGCCTGTACCTTGGCCAGAGGTTCAGAAATATTTTTCGTGGAGTAGGTACATTTGAACATTTTGAGAAACCATAATTTACGATGCTAGAGCTATTATGAGAATCTTGGAAACTTTTCTTTGATTATTGATTAAATGTACCTCGCCCTTTGAACCAAACCTGGCTGGGGGGAGGGGGGGGGAGTCTATGGACCTGGAGTATAGAAACCTTGGCCCTATAGATCATGACTAACTACCATATGCCATTCAACACCGTGGCAAAACTTGATGGGAATACCAGTTCAAAAACATCCAGAGAAGCAGAATCTTTTCCAGCTCTATAATAACAATACCTGAGTTATCACAATATCTCAGTGTAGTTAATGTGAGATTTTTTTTTCTTTCATTAGCTTTGCCTTAGTTGAGGTATTTGTATCTATTGATTCATAATGGCAGTAATGTACTAGCTCTAGCTTTTCACTGAGCTTCATGAGAGAGACTGTCTCTTGCTGTGTTTATACTTCATGCCTTTGGCAGGGATATCTGATTTTTTGTCTTAGTCATGTGACACATAATGCACATTGTAGATGAGAATTGGTATACATAATGGGAAATAGGAAATGTTTGTGCACATGCAACTGACACCATATAGGGAGGGGAAGTGTATTAATTGTTTTTTCTTTGTCAGCATGCTTTTACATAATTAAGTATTACTTTGACCTATTTAACTTCTTTATAAGAACTGTATATGTGTCTTTTTATACATAACTCTATAAAACCGGGTGGGGCATTTTTCAGGAATGTACAAAAATTACCTATGAATTTGCAGAAGATACTAGGAAACTGTATCTGGGAGCCCTCACACCAGGCTTTGATCTCATGGGAAAACTTAGGTAAGTATATTCTCAAATTTGGCTTCATGTAAGCACCTTTAACAAATGGTTCTGAGGATAGTCTTGTTTGGATGGCTTCTTGTAATGACTTACAAGGGAAACGGCATATTCTCTTCTACCTAAATTATTTAGATGGTCTTTAATTATTGAAGCTGACTAATGTTTATTATTCTATTTTTCTGTAGGGGCTGCATTGATTCGATTCTCCCTCCTAATGCTCATGAGATAGCAGAAAATCGCCTCTTTGTATCAGTCACTAGTGCTAAAAATGGAAAGAACCATTTGCTTTCAAATTTTGCCTCCAGGGAGGATCTTGTTAAGGTAGGAGAGCTGCATATCACTTCTATAAATGAAAATGCATGACTGTCTCCAGGGTTGGAGCGTTTAGGGTTTTTTTTTTATTAAGTGTGGTCTGAGAACTCTTCGTTTTATTCACTTCAGTGCTTCAAGAAGGACTGCTGACTTGTTTGAAATAACAACTGCCTGACCTGATATTTTTGAAAACTTTTGCAACTGGGCCTTATTCATTCCTTTAAAAATAATAATTCCCTCTTGAGTGTGTACCTTTGTCTCTGTGAGTGTGTACCTTTGCATGCCATGCACAATGTTAATTGTAGCATTAACCTTGATATTGTAAGTAAAATATAATGAAGCATTGCAAGAGATAATTATTCCAATCTAGCATGGGCCTTTTTCTGTGTGGAATAGACTTCCATAAAGCAAATCACTTTGACTGCTTACATCAGTGGTTCTCAGCCTGTGGGTCCCTAGGTGTTTGGCCTACAACTCCCAGAAATCCCAGCCAGTTTACCAGCTTGTTAGGATTTCGGACAGTTGAAGGCCAAAACATCTGGGAACCCACAGCTTGAGAACCACTGGCTTACATGTTTTGACATAGATAGGATCCATTATTATGAGATATTGTGCATCAGAGCTTTCCAAATATTTCATGTTGGTGATCTGATTTTTAGACAAACATCATTTTGCGGCACAGTTATTCAGTTTTGCTGGCAAACTAAAGATTAAACCAACTCTTATAACCCTTATAAGAGATATGGATACATAAATAAATTATAATAATGAAATCTATGGAAACATAACATATCTCATGAAAACCTTTCATTTATATTTTTTGAATTATATGATTTGTAAAATAAAAACATTAATTAATGTTAATTTCCAAGATTTTTCTCATTTTTCATTATGTCCATGTGACATATCTCCGCATCTCGGCTGACACAAAGTTGTATAGAGATGTAGTTAGACCAGATGTAAAGTAACAAGCAACTTGAAAGCCTTCCTCCTATTACCACCTTTTTGTTTTGTGTCTTTTAAATTGTAAACTTCTTAAGAGGGGGATTATCTTATTTGTTGACAGCCTGTATAAGTTGTTCTAGGATACATTCTATCTGTAGAGTTGGGTAAAAATGCTTTTTTAAAACAGCCAAGATAAGTGGTCACTTATGAGTGCTTATTTCAGATGAAATGTCGTTTTCTCAATTTGGAAGCAATTGAAAAAGAAAATTCATACTACTCTAGAACCAGAAAAAAATATTTGTTGGTGATATCACTGCTGCTTGACTTACCTGAATGTCTGCTTTTTGTAGATGGCACCATGTGTAGCCAGAACATGGGGCATAATTTAGCACTGCAAAAATGAACATAGGTGAGCCTCAATTGCTTCCCCATATTATCTGAATTCACCTAACCCGAGCCCTCGATGGCACAATGGGTTAAAACCTTGTGCTGGCAGGACTGAAGACCTACAGGTCAGACGTTTGAATCAGGGGAGAGTGTGGATGAGCTCTCTCTGTCAGCTCCAACTCCCCATGTGGGGACATGAGAGAAATCTCCCACAAGGATGATAAACATCAAAAACTCAAGTCATCCCCTGGGCAATGTCCTTGCAGACAGCCAATTATCTCACACCAGAAGCGACTTGCAGTTTCTCTAGTCACTCCTAACATGAAAAAAAACCCCAAAACCTAACTCTGGTTTAATGAAGCAATCCAAGGTCCCCAGTTGTACTATGGGAAGAAATTGTTAGGAAAAGTAGTTAAAATTAGCCACCTCTAAGATTTTTTCATGTAACTCTAGCCTGTGGCTGATCTGAAATATGAGCTGAAGCTTCAGTTTGCCATCCTTTGACTGTACCAGAAGAGGACAGGAAATGGCATGGTGTCTTTGTGAAGCCCAAACTTTGTTTTATATTCCTGTTGTGACATTAAAGCACAATTTTGCATTCTGTTCAGTAACTTCTGATATTACGTCATTAGGCACAGTGAAGCAGCAGATCCTGAAATGAATTGACAGATAGTTATTATTGAATGGGGAAAAAATAGTTATTACACAACAAGTATCTTTTAGTAAAAAGTAATGAAAGCCAGCAGAAATTATTAGCATATTAAAACATGTTTATTGTCCATCCTCTCTACCCTTTCCTACAGGTCCTCCTAGCCAGCAGTTTTATTCCTTTGTATGCAGGAATCAATGCAGTGGATTATAAAGGACAGGTCTGTGTGATTAAACGTCCTCTATATTTTGGATGCTACATTTATGTGGGTACTGTTAAAATCATTCTCGCCATTAAGAAGATCAGCACTAATAAAAGCTAGTGTTCTTTAATAACTCCATCTTACATTTAACTTCTGTAGCAAGGTGACCTTTAAAAACACTGCTTCCTGTTGTATTCCAGCTGGTTTTCCTGACATCATCTAAAGCAGGGGCAGACAAGTTGGCTTTTTTGAAGAATTTTGGCTAGATCCCAGAGGGCTATACTGCCATTTGAAATGACAAGAAGGAATATTTTGTAACTCCAGATTAATTAGTGGGAGGTGGTGCGGGGGTACTGCTTTTAGGCTGCCCACTAAATTTGCTTTAATGTTATGGAACATTTCAAAGTCCTCCCCCCCCCCAAAAAAAAAAAAAAGAGAGCATTTTTGTGGGGCAAAATGAAGTGCTGGGTCTGCCCAACAGTGACACAGTATTCCCTCTCCCCGAAGGCATTTTGCTGTCTACATAATTCCCAGACATAATTCCTAAAGGCACCATTGATTTAGGTGGCATGGTAGAAAGGGTTAACTTATGGTCCTATCACATTACACTGTTTTAACTCTACATTTCACTTAAACTGCTATTCCATTTCATGTGGAATCCTGGGACTTGCAATTCACAGAGGGACATTTAAAATTTGCAGCCAGAGAGCTCTTGGTTCTCACTAAACTACAGACTCCGCAGTTTCTCAAAATGTCATCATGGCAGTTAAAGTGGAATACAGTACTACATTGTGGAATATAGCAATATCAACACAATAACCCACTGTGATAATCCTTCATTGCTTTTAGATCTCCATTGGTGTCTGATAGTAGAATTCATCATTATTATGTTAATGTCTTGTGGAATCTGTGTATTACTGATGTGGGAGTAGATGAAAGTTTTGGTTTCTTTGTTTTGTTTGCTGAATTTGTGTATGAGAATGGTTTGACTTGTTTACTACTAACAAACAACAAAACCTTTATTTATATTTATTATTTGTACCAAGCCACAGATGTAACATTGATAAAGCACAAAATTACAGTAAGAGCAACTTTTTACATTTTAGTACAGTGGAGGTGAAAGGTTATGTCTGCTAATTCCCCTTCTGCTATGCCAGCATTAAAAATGCAGGGGATTTTGAAGCATTGCTTGCATGGAAAGTATTCTTCTTCTTCACCTCGTGTGCTCTTTTGTCTCGAAAAAGGAACTGGAGATCACCAACACTTTTCAGAAGGTTGTCCGGGTATCTTTTAGTTGCGGAGTTGTGTTGCTTTATGATCCCATGGTTGAGATGCCTCAATAGCCTCAAGAAAACTGTGTCTTTCTGCCTTTCCTCTAACCTGGACTTCTATTGTAGCAGACATATGCAGTTCCGGGACTACTTCCTGAGCGATGGTTTAGAGGATGAGTAAGAGAGACTTAATCATTTACCCATCTGATTATACGTTTGTGTGGTTCATGAAGCAACACATAGCACTCTAAAACGAACGAGCCCAGTTACATAGATTTAGATACCTGAATTTGCTTGTAGATGTATATTCCATTAAGCTTAGTCTTCATGCTTCATGTGCTTCTTTTAAATGGATTTTAACTGCGCAGTATTTCACAGTATCTCTTTGGCCTGTAATATATGTGTGAATTACTAGAAATAATATGGATCTGAATTATGAAGAGGTACATTTGAATATGATGCCGTGGGAGAACATAGGTTTCCGAAAAGGAGAGCATCCTCCCTAAGGACTGAACCATTTCCATTGCTGCTTCAGGAAGCATTAATAAGGAGTGTCAAGAGATTGCGTCTTCAAAGGCTTTGGCCTTTCCTTGTTTTTCTGACTGCTGATGTATCCCTGTTGTAGTATTTTCTGAGAGGTATGAGGGTTCAAGATTTCTTGGAGAAAGGGGCCATGCACATACTGGCTCTTCAGTCTACTGTTGGCACACAGTGTCTCAGTCCTCAACCTCCATATGCTGAGAAGATATGAAGCAGAGAACTATTTGTGTAACTTTGTGCTTGGGTTCAGGACTCTATTTGAACATGACTCTGATGACAGAGGGAAATAGCCAGGATTGCACAGAGGTGGATGTGCACTGGCATATTAAAGACAGGCCTAGCATATGTAGCTCTTTTCTTCTACCTCATTTGAATATTTGCACATTTAAGAGAATTTTGGGTAGAAATGTCCCTGACCTCAGAAGAGAAAGGCCACCCTGCTTTACTAGTGGCTTCTAAACAGCCTCAAGCCATGTCCTCTTAGCTTGTGTTATAGAAACAGACTTTTGCTGTAAGTGGTCATTATGGCACCTACAGATGCCATCACCTGTTTTGGACCTGTTTTTAAATTGATTTGGACCTGTTTTAAAATTTTACCTCCAAGCAAGCACCAGAATGGTGAAAAGTGTTGGAAGTTACAATTCAGCAACATGGTGTGTGTGCAACATTTCCCAGCTGACACCTAAATGGAATTGCTAGTCTGTGCAAGAGTAAACCCATTGAATCAGCAATAGCAAGTTAATGCAAGGTCATTCTTTGCACATGAAAATGGCTCAAGCTGAAGCTTTGGAGGTTTATATCTATAAGACTGTCCCTTTTTGTTGTTGCTCCATTCTGAAAATGCCTGTGATAACATAGCTGTCGATAAGCCACAAATTTTTAGCAAAAAAGGGGACACTGGAGAGTTTTTATTCTGGCTTCATTTTACTTTGGAATAAATTCTTCTATCAGGAATAGTTAATTGAAAATTAAATGCCTGGCAGCTGGACATTTGCTTGTCTTGTTTACAAATTGCCCCAGTTCGCGATATTAATTGATCCTTAAATGTAAGATCAAGATAAACACAATATAGATGGGACTACTTCTGAACTTTAGCCCCTGATTTGGTCCTGTTTTTAAATTCTTGTTCACCCAGGAGGTTAGCTATCTCAACAAATCTTATGTTTTATTAGCCTCAGCATGCAATTTCTGCAAAATAACACATAATCCTCTGTGACCATCTTGCAGACTCCCATAAATCATACACACATTTTGCACCATTCTGTGGGTAATGAATCCTGAGGGGCATAATTGAGAGAATTAAAAAAGGAAATCTGACCATCAGGAAATTCAGGAGGTTTTATGAGGCTTCTGAGAAGACTGTTAGACTGTAAAATATCATAAACAGATAAGTAAATAAGTGGATTAAACTTGCAAGGTGTTATTTCCAAAAGAAGCATTTTGAAAAAGTACGAGAATATTGTATTTAATTAGCATCCCATTAAGATAAGGAAGTTTTGGAACAGAAAATTTTGGATAAATTGCTGACTATATGTAATACGAAAATAGATTTGGAAAAGATATTCAAATGTAGAATAATGGATCAGGTTAGATGGACAGGATGTAATTAACTCAAATTTCATTTTCTATTAGAAATGGATTGATGGTGGTTTAACCGATGGCCTCCCTATTCTGCCAATGGGCCGAACTGTGACTGTTTCTCCCTTTTCTGGACGACTAGATATCTGTCCACAAGACAAAGGGCGGATGGATGTCTATGCTAAAGTTGCAAAACAAGACTTAAAGGTCAGTTGTGCCATCAAAGTGATGTGTCTCATAGTTTTGGAATAATACTTACCTGTTTGGGGAAGTATTCGAGCTAAACCTGGTTCTGATAATATTACAATTCCTTATCTATATTTCTATGCATGTAGATTCACTTTATGCCCAATTTGCTATCAGGTTACTGATGTGAAGCTTGTATAAATAAATTCATTCACCAAGATAAAGTCATAGCCTAAGGCTTAACAAACCTCTCTCAGTTTAAGATTTTTTTAAAAAAAAACAAAACAAAAACATAACCCAGGGATTGAGCATGTTCAACATTTAAAACAATAGATAAAATAAAAGAAATCAAATTTGAGAGCATGTTGATGAGAACAAAGCAGTGTTGTCACAGAATTGTAGAGCTGGAAGAGACCGCAAGGTTCATTCAGTCCAATCTGCCATGCGGGAATACACAACTAAAGTATCCCTGGAAAGTCCTCTTCAGACATCCAAAGATGGAAAGCCCACTACATTGGAGGAAGCTTATTCCCCTGGTAGACAGCTTTTATAGTATAAAAAAGTTCTTCCTAATGTTTATATGGAATCTCTTTTCTTGTATTATGGACCCATTGGTTTTTCTTGAGTCTCTGGACCAGCATGAAACAAGCTTGCTTCACCATCTCCATGGCATCTGTTTGGCTATTTAGATCACTATCATGTTACATTTCAATCTTCTCTTCTCCAAGCAGAACATACCCAGCTCCTTAAGCTGTTCCTCATAAGACTAGGATTGCAAGGCCTTTGTTTGGCTTGGTCATCCTTATTTGAATATGTTTCAACTTGTTTTTAACTCTGATGCCCAGAACTGGACATAGTATTCCAGGTGATGTATGACCAAAGCAGAATAGAGTGTCCCTATTACTTTACTTTAATCCTCTTCTTGATACAGCCCGTTGATAATATCATATCAGTTCTCAGGCTCATTTATTTGACTCAACTGCCTCATATTTATAATATGTTTAAAATATTTTATATCATCCTTTATCTTATTACAAAATGTAATAAAACCCTGATGTAATGAATAATAAAAACTATAAAACAGCATCAACTGTAGCAATAAAGAGCAGAAAATATAGAAAATAGATAACTCATATCAACTAACTTAATCAAGCAGTTTGAAATGCCTGAGAAACAAATAGATTTTGACCTGGAAACGAAAATACTATTCTGTAATAGATAAGTTTTAAATGAGAATCACAGTAATAAGGATCTAGCTGAGCCTGGTACAGCCAGTAAGTTAACTGGGTGATCCTGCCCTAGTTTCTATCTCTTGGTATAACCATGCCTCATAGAACTGTTCTGAGGATAAATTACCAAAAGTGGTGATACGCCAGGAGAATTACCCTTAGCACGCGGAAGAAAGGGTGGGATGCAAATGAAATAAATGAAGTGGTTAAGTGTTGTCAATGTGGGAAAAAGCCATACTCTGTGAAAAATATCTATCCTTGAAGAGTTTATATAGCTGAGATGAGGAACCATTTATTTTGCAGTAATCTCAGACAAAAAGACATAAAGGAACCCAGTGAGACTAATATTGATTCCATTAATCTCATGAGACTAGGCAGAAAATTGTGGGGTTCACAGCAGAAAAAATGTTGCCATAAGCTACTCCACCCCAAAACAGAAGCTATAGTGACTGCTTTGTTTCTTGCTTTGTTTCTTACTTACAGTTGTCCACTGCAAATTTTGTAAGACTTCACCAGGCTCTGTTTCCTCCAGGCCAGGAGAAAATGGAATCACTCTACCAGGAAGGATATGATGATGCCATACATTTTTTACTGAAGGAAAACTGGTTTGAATAGATTATGTGAGTCGAAAATTAACAGTGTCTGATGGCTGTCAAAGCAAAGCTACAAACGCTCCACAGAGCCCACGGGATTGCTGTCACGATTTCTGTTTATCTAAAATGAATGCCATAGGACTTGCATCTGTCGCTGTCAAACAAGTGTTTATATTTAGGTGTGTTGGATGGAATTGGTAAACAGGTTCAAATGCAACGGAATTGGACTTAATGTAGTAAGCAATTCTGCTTTTTAAAAAGGATTGATTTTGGACTTTGTTTTGGAGGGGATTTTTTTTCCAATTGTTTTTGTTCCCATACAGCATGCAAGTATAATTCAACAAATTTTATTTGTTCATATTAGTACGATTTGAGATTTATGCTCAGATTACAGACAGAAAATATGAACTGTCAGCAGAGAGTTACTTGTGTTCTTTCACAATTAATCCTGTTGGCATGCCCATTAATTGACTTATTCATTTTCATTTTTAAATCCAGTTGTCGTCGTCCCCCTCCCCTGCTGGTGTACTCTCAAGCATGAACTCTAATTACAAAGAAGCTGTGGGAAACAAAACAGCTTAATTGCATATCTTTTAATTGCTATGCATGTGTGTTTTGCTATTAGTACATCTTGTTCTTTAAATAAATTCCATAACTTTTAAAATTTTCATTTGCATATGTACTGTCTTATTTTCTCACATGTAAAATACATTGCTGGTGGGGAGGGCAGTTAAAGGTGTGTGTTTTATTTAAAAAAAAAATAGACATCCCCACATACTCTGAGCCTCTTCTTATGATATATCAGTGGACTAGTTTCTATCAAGAATACAATATAGTGGAAAGCCATGTAACAATGTTGGAAAAAATCAGATGCACATAGGATGAGAATGTGTAAACAAGGATCTATGGATTTTAATTCGTCACAAAGTAAACATCAGCAGACTACAGTATCAAGCCTATGGGACAGTAACAGTGCCACTCTATTGGGTCTGGTCTCCCCTCTAGTGCACACCGAAGCATATGCAAAAGAGGGCAATCAAAATATAAAGATATGGAAATGGCTGAAGGAGTTGGTTATGTTTAGTGTAGAGAAGACTGAATGCCACTTTTAATTATCTAATGGGAAGTTAGATAGACAATGCAACAATTTGTAATATAAAATTTGTAATATAATGCAACAATTTGTAATATAAAATTTGTAATATAAAAAAGGAAAATCCAACAAAATATTAGAAAGATGTTTCTGACAGTAAGAACTGTTTGGCAGTGGATCAAGCTACCTCAGATGTTGTTGGCTTTACTAGGGTTCTAAAATAGAGGTTGGATATTATCAATGACCACCGGTTGGATATAGATTGGGATTAGGGATTGGATTAGAACATGGCTTCTTACACTTTTCCCACTCACAACTCCTTTCTTCCTGATAAATGTTTACATGTCCCCAAATATATAGGTATATAAAATTAGTATAAAATCAACATTTTACTGTTAATAAATCAGCATTTATAAGGATTGCTGAACAGATTGGTTTTGCCTTTTGATGAAGTACAGCTGAAACATTTTCCTCAGAGTCCATCATAAGCACTGCATGCTGTAGCTAGCTGATTTGTGCAATGTCTTAAACAACTACTAAAGTGGTCTTCAAAAATGTTTTATTGTCGCCAAATTTTAGCAACCTTAACATTGACCCCAATTTGGGGCCATGACCCACATTTTAAGAAGCATGGATGAGAAGACCTGGTGGATATTATTGAGATTCTTCTAAGTATTTGCTGCCACCAATCTGGAAACTCTGTTTCCCTAATTTGATAAGAACACTTCTTTATATAGAGGCACACTGAGGCAATTGTTTGTGAACGAAGAACAAAGATGTTTATTTGTGTAGTTTTCAAAAACATAAGCACTTAAGAGTAAGGGATGCAAGAATGAGATGAAGCTTATTTGGTTACTTTAAAACAGTTCAGTATTTGGTTTCCAAAAACAACTCTTAACTCCCTCAGGAAAATTAGCAGACTTCCTCCTGACTAGATTCCTTTTACTTCAAACTGTCCTTTTCCTGGGATCTGTTTATAATCACTATTCCCAGCTATTCTTCCCTAATAGCTCTCTGAACTCCCTAACTAACTCTTCGGCTTCACTAAACTCCACTCTCCTTCTCCTCACTCTCTCTTAACTGTCTTCTTCAAAACCCAGAACCTATCTAACTGTCAGATTTCAAAAAGCATACTTCAAAGCTTCCTTTTTTATCCTGCACTTCACCCAAGCTCCGCCCACTTTCTCCCAGCCAATCACAAGGGTACTCCACATTTCCCTCCAGGCTGCTTCTAAGCTCTGCCTTCATTAGGAAATGACTAACCTAAGATGGCTGCTGCCTCCAGGCACCATACAAAATGGCTGCCAAAAAAATTGGGCCTAATTCCTATTATTCTGGTATAAAAGGTAGGCAATTCATCATACAAATAATCAAGTCCCTCATTTCTGAGAAGCATTTAAGCATTTTGTAAGTTCGGTGTTACATGAAAGAGTAAATAACAGACTTCCCTGCATTTCTTTTTCTTTCATATATGATTTATGCATCTGATGTAATACTTGCTTAGAATGCTAATTCCTGTATCACTTCTTTTCTAGATTGTTTTAGCTCCTACTTTGATAGAGACCTGTATTTGATTTAGTGAGACTGAAATTATACATCCATTTTGTTCATAAGAAGAATCCAAAAGGATCAGCCCAAGGGTCCGTCTCATTCAATGTCCTGTTATTCTGTTAATCAGAAGCCTGTTTGAAAAACCATGTGTAGTGTGCCACTTAAGGCTTCAGTTTTACATACAATTACCTGGAAGTAAGGCCCCTTAAAATAATGATCTGGTTTCTGCGGTGACATTTTGGGACAATCCTAAGATTATTAGTAAATCCATCCCTTTGCGGTAAAAAACTGTAAATATAAAATGAGTTAAATATATCATACTAATGTGTCTTGCTAGCTATGCAAAAAGTTCAGGGCTAAGTAACACCTGCTTTCAAGGAATTTCCCTGGCTGTTAATAAGCTTTTGATCTGAATTCAACGTACTGGTGATAACATTTAAAGCTGTACTGATTTAAACCTCAACACTTGAAGGAGGGACTCTCTCTATAAGACTACCAAAAGTTGAGGTCCTCTGTGTTCTGGAGGAAGAAATGCACTGGTAGAAGCCATGGGCCTTCTGTGACGTTCCACCCCAGTTATGTAAGACCCAAATCATGCCAAAGCCGATGTCATTGAGGTGCCAAGTCAAAACATGATTTTCTATTGAAGCAATAGTTCTCAACCTGTGGATCCCCAGATGTTTTGGCCTTCAACTCCCAGAAATCCTAACAGCTGGTAAACTGGCTGGGATTTCTGGGAGTTATAGGCCAAAATACCTGGGGACCCACAAGCTGAGAACCACTGTATTAAAGGCTTCAGAACCTAATTATTTGATTTGTACATTTGCTATGTTTTGCAGTGTATTAAATTGTTTTAACTGGCTTTGATTTATTTTAAATAATAGATGATAAAATATTTTTTCAGTCTTTAAATTGTTGCTATTGTTTTGTATTATTCATAACTGATTTCATTGTATGCCACCCTGAGATCCTTGCTATAAAATATAAATGTCTTAAGAAAAAAATATTTTCTGGAAAAATCTGGAATTCATTATTACAGTTCATAATTCTCTGGGAATAACATGCCAAAACCCACAAGCCATATTTTTATGCATATTGAATTGTAGAGTGTGTAGGCTCACAAATTATTGCTTAATTACTCACAAAAGCCAAATGCCTATCATGCAGCTTTGGCAGACTAAATATAGCCCAACTGTGATTGGCTAAGGAAGACTTCAAAACCGGCTTTCATGTTTCAAAACATTCTAGTATGAAATGTAATTATTAATGGAATTTGTTTAATGGAAATATAAGTCTTGCTTGTTTATTAAAAATGAAACTATGCAGTGACTTAGGTATATATGTGAATGTACCTTCAAATGCAGAATGAAAAATAGGAAAGAGTACATGCATAAACACACCAAAAAGCAGTGATGAAAACACTTCTTACCTTATTGAAGGAACAAGATGATGTGTTTTAGGTGTTGCACTATTAAGTATGTTTAGCTGATCTTTTTATTACATACAGGGGGAACAATACAGCATGGGCCATATATCAGCATGAGTTTCTTTAATTAAAAGAAAAGATATTCCCATTTTTTTCTGTTTTGGAGCTGGTCTTGTAAATAGACTGTTCTTCAGACCTGTAACTGGCTCTGTAACCCTTTGATTTACTCTTATATAACTTAATCCTTTCCATTTCATGAAAGCCAATTTGCCTCTGAATGTAAGAGGAGTGTTAAGAATATGATAGGGGTTTATATGGTCACACATGCCTTTGGGGTTAATTTTTCCTGTCCTGTACAAAACAAAGAAAATCTTGAAAAGTTATTTTATATAACACATAGGAGAAAATAAGACTAGGCAGCTAATTGTATCTTTGGCTTCTTGACCAACAAATATTGCTCCCTGTTTGTCCGAAGGATGCAGTCGATGTGTTATGGCAGAATATCCTTGGAGGGCAAAGCCATTGCAAGGAGAACTAAGCAATATCTTTTGCCCTCCATTTTCTTTTGTTGAGTTTGGATTTCTTCTCTCATACAATAGGAAAACTTTGGGGTCAGAATTAGTCCACCTTCTTTTTATAATGTCTTTGCTTCTCCCTTCTTACCTTTTAAAAGTGGCCAAAGTTATGTACAGATGTACACTGATGATGCAACAAGAAGAACTAAAGAGAAGGGGAAGGGGGAAGAACTGTCGCACAAATTGGTTGCAATGTGATTGTAATTTTGAATCATCCTGCACTTGTTCAATAATTGAAATGGCTTACGAAGACATGTTCAGAATTACCTTTCAGTGCTTCACATATGCACGCCAACAGTGGTATTGTGGTTCAGTCGTTCCTTTACATGACATTCATGAAATCAGCCATAGACTATTTGACAGGTTAAAATTCACAGAGATATTAACAAGCCTAGTGACAGCTAAGATAACATGTTTTTGAAACCACACAAAGATGGGCAGATAATTGGAGCATCAATTTTTTTTTGAATAATTTTTATTGATTTTCACCAAAGTTTACGATAAAACATTCATTCATAAAAGAAGAAAAAGAAGAAAAGAAAGAAAGAAAGAAAGAATATATATATATATATATATATATATATATATATATATATATAGTTCCACCATCACCACAAAAAAACCCTCAACAGCAAAGTACAACAAAACAAAATCAAACCCCAACCAACACCCTAGTGTGACTTCCCTTCTTCTTACTTTCCTCAATTCATCTTTTATCTTCCCCTTTCCTCTTTCTCATTTCTTCCAACAGTGTTTACTTATATATTAGGAAGGGGACTATATATATTACTTCACACTCTCTTATTTAGTTTAGTTTATCCAATCTTTCCTTTCAATATATTCTTGCAAAAGTTTCCAATCTGCTGATTTCATACCTCGACCATTGTTTTGCCATAACCAATATGTTAATTCATCCATATCTTTAATATCAATAATTTTTTTAATCCAATCCATTTTTTGAGGAATTTTGTCCTGTTTCCACAATTTTGCTAGAACCATTCTTGCAGCTGTGGCAAAAAAGGT